CCGCCAATCGCCCCCAGGAATAGAAAAAGGATGGTACGAAGAAAAACATACATGCGCCTCGGTGGATTCTATGCTGGCGGACATGAATTCCTACGAGATGACATAAAGATAAGAGTATACATACAATAAATCCTCCTTTACACTTTGACTCTTGTATGGCAAAGTAGGCTATATTGTGGAAGCCTTTCTCATTGACGGCAAATGGCACGATTTTCCCAATACTGTTAAAAATACCACTTACACGTAACAAATCAAATACCTTTAAATACGTTACAGAGTGGTGTTTATTATCATAAAAATTTTACCATGCAACATGTTAAAGGAACAATCTGACTGAAAACCCGGTCCCATAATCAGGTGAACCGAATACCTCTGCCCTATTTTACAAGCGGGCAACATCGCTGGCGTTTTCCAGACAAGAACGATGATACCACCAAGTAGAATGAGTGTGTATCCACACAAGTAATGCTCGAATGCCCGTTCTTTTAAAAATGTGATGACGAGAGCGTTTCAGTCGTCATGATTTCTCTTTGCTTTTTTCCCCTAAGGTTGCAAGAGCGTTTCTGCATGCTTACACCTCTTTAGCAGGTATCCGCACCCCACAAAATCGTATTTATCACCTCACACGCTTAGTTTTCCTCACAGTTTTTTTTATAACCGGATCCAGAATGCGGTACTTGAGATGGGCCTCGTCTATATTAATTCCAAGTTTTCATATTCAACTTTTTCGCCTTCTTGGTAATCGCCCGAGCAACATGAGGATAAAAACCGCCCATAGTATCACACGATCTGTGGGAATTTGGGGTATCTAACGCCATATTGACTTCAGGAATTAATACGCGGGCATCAATGCGCCACTCACCTCTTCCGAGTTCCTCGATACGGGGCGTATCTCGTTTGCGATTCGCCGTTATTTCACACCACAATTTTCTCTAAAGATCTACTAATTCTACAATCCCGATACAACTCCCGTGCTCGTTAACCACAATTGCGCAGGTATCTCGGCTTGCCGCAGTTCGTTCAATAAATCTATTGCAGGCTTCAGGCGGGTACATAGTACGCATCCTTCACAAATGGTGATTAAATCGTCGTCATGTTGCTCGCTCGTGAGTATTCCATAGCATCAACCACTCCGAGCAACCAGCAACGCGCGCTCATTATAAATAGGAATGTAACGATAGTTGGAAGCGCGACAGAGTTTGGGAACTTCAGAGCATGGCGATCCTGCTGTCAGCGGAACTATCTCTGACAGGGGCATCATCACTTCCTGTGCTGTTAATGCTCTCAAATCGAAGATTGCACGTAAGAGTCGTGCTTCGTAATCGGGGAACGTCTCAATATTCTCCAGAAATAACTGCCTAAATTGTTCGAGAGATGGGGTTGTCCTTCGTTTCGAGTTCCCGAAAACCCCTTCTTTTGAGGCGCGGCTTCCGTTCCTCATAAGCAACACAGTGCATAGATTTCGCCAGATCTACTTTCGCACCATCCTGCTTGCTAACAACAGGCATCTGGCCGTTTTCTTCTTCCGAAATGTCTTTAGTGATTTTGTTCATAGTGATGTAGTATCGCCCTCCACAAGATGTGAAACTTCCACTCAGTTTCTGGAGTCTAAGGTCATTTCGTTCTGCCTTATAAAGGCAAGCATCCGCCCGCGAATATCTGCTTGCTGTGGGAGTAGATAACACGTCTTCTCTCAAAACGGAAACTAAACGTCGCAATTTCAGGATGTTGCGATCACCTTTACGTGCGTCCCGACTCTCCATGGACTACGTTTGCGCAACAAGCGTCAGTTCCGTTTTCCCACCGAGTCCCGCAACGACGGGAAATGTTTTCTCCCCCGGCTTTCCATCTTTCGGCACATACCGGACCTGCGGTGAGAAGTAGGCATACAACGCCGTGTTCCGAGGGTTAGGTGTGGTGTTTGGTCCCGAACCGTGTACCATCAGACTATGAAAAAATAGAGCACTTCCTGCAGAAAGTGGAACATCCATCTGTTGCTCCGCGACTTCCTTTCGATCGGTGAGTTCTTTATCCTGCTGACGTGCAATATGTCCCCACGACTGCACTCCCCATAGGTGGCTTCTTGGAATTACCTTGAAACAACCGTTTTCAACTGTAGCGTCGTTGAGGGCAATACTCACGGTAACAAGGCGCGGGGGCTCCATGGGCCAATATGCTGAGTCTTGATGCAACCCGTGCGAAGATCCATGAAACGCCGGTTTGAACATCAGCGTGCTTCTAAAGAGCAGTAGGTCTGTTCCAATGAGCCCTTGAACGACTCTAATGAGTTTCGGATGTTGTGCAAGGTCCCGAAATACTTCGGAGTACTGACGCGTGTTTTCTGCCTTCCGCAGCACGGGTAAACTGCCCCTTTGTGTTTCGTCTTTCGCAAATGGTTCATGCTGTACGTGCCGACGTGCGACCTCTGCCTGTTCCTTCTCCGCATCGGACTCCTGTCCTGCAGCAAACTGAATGCAAACGGTGGATATCCGCTTGGCACGTTTCGATTTCTGCTGCCGATAACAGGTTCTCAACAACGAGATAACCTTCCTTTTCAAAAAACGCTTTTCGCTCCTTCAAATCCATTTTAGCCTCCAATTAATTGTTTGACTTCCCAGATAATACTTGAAATCGCAAATCCGACATAGACACATGAAGCGATTACCATCATGATGGTAGAAAGTTTTTTCGGCTTTGCGAAATCAGGCAGAAAGCGGTAGTTCATGTAAAGCGTAAGCGGCACATAAATCGCCATAGCGAAACCGCCCATATACGCCGCATTAAACAGAAATCCTAATTCACTGACGTTTAACTGCTCCATAACGAAGGTGATTACACACCCACCGACAATCCAGATGCCTGCAATGAGGAGATACCACCAACTTAAGCTTCGTCTTTGTGCCCCTCGGAAGTTGGTATAGATAATGTCAGAAATGGAACGCGACACGCCATCAACCAGCGCGAGTTGCGTGCCGAAAAGCGTCGCAACACCAACCAACAGGAAAATCTTCTGTCCTGGCGTTCCCCAGATTTCGCCCAATATTCGCGCTTCGTCGTAAATGAGTCTGCCTTGTTCAGGGACAATTCCTTGAGGATGTAAAACCGCGAGCGCGCCGAAAATAAAAAGCAGAATCGTGAACGTGTTGAGTGCCCAAAAAAACAGAATCTGGTCTTTTTTCACATATTGCCACCATGCGGTGAAGCGTTTTCGATTTTCCTCCGTCGCCTCAAAGAGAAACCCCGTCGCAGGCACCTTTTCGCTCCTGCCTCGAAGCGGGTTCTGTAGCCCCGGCAACTGTGCACCCATACCGATGTTTTTATCGCGTAGATAGAACGTGTAAAAGAGATTTGCTGTCCCTCCCGCGCCTGCGAAAACTAACGCGATAAACAGTTGTTTCACGGACAGCCCCGGGTCTTTGTAGCCGATGTTGATCAAACCGGCACCAAGTTCTTTCCATGTATCCATTGAGCTGACAGCAACAGCAACCAAAATCAGGCCGATAGCTACAACAGCGACTAACACTTCAACCGTCCGTTCGACAGATTGGTAGACCATCTCGGTCCGAAAAGAATGAGCGAGACGGCAGCAAACGTCACTATTGTCCAGAAGGTGTCGGAACCCCAGCCACCGGGTCCAATTAGAAGTGCCTTAAGCGCGAGACCTGACGCGCGCCCCCAACCCGGGGCAATCCATCCTACCACAGTCAGTAGAATGAACAACGGAGCAAAACCTCGCCAGATACGGCTGTATCCCGTATACACTGTCTCGCCTGTGGCGATCGTCCAGGCGGCCCACTTCAAAGTTTATCCACAGTTGGAGGATACACCGAGCACCGCCGCCCAGATCATACTTCCACCATATTCCGCGTCAATCCGAGGCCACAATTACAATCCTCACCTGCACCGATAGATAGACCGACTAAGATAGCACCGTAAAAGACCCGCAATTTTCCAAAAAGGTAACTGTTTCTCTGGCAATTCGACGATCTTGAAATCATTCAAGGCGGTTGATAATCTAGACATTTTTTTAATTTTACCTTGCGGAGTAATGAGGGGATGTTTCCTGCTTAAGGTGCTGTTTTCTCCTATCCGCCCTCCATTACATTATGGGCTTACGTTGTTTATTTTTATTTTTAATCTGTAACCGTAGACAGCAGCCTGCAACAACGGCGCAGGCGGATATGAGAGAAACCATCAATAAACAAATGACTTCATTTAATTTTTTACTACGCCTTGCGAATCATTTTTAATTTTACCTTGCGGAGTAATGAGGGGAGTTTTCTGCTAAGGGCTTTTCTCTATCCGCCCTCCATTACATTATGGGCTTACGGTTTAGTTTTATTTTAATTCCGTAACCGTAGATAAGCAGCCTGCAACAACGGCGCAGGCGGATATGAGAGAAAACCATCATAAACAATGACTTCATTTAACCGCTGCGAATTATAAAAAACCGCCTACGTAAGATTTCAACCGGATGCTTTGGGTTGCACACCCGTCCCATGTTCCAGTTGATGTCTACAAGAGAAGCCCGCAGCACTTACGCAAAAACTGCCCGGTGTTTCTCACGGACAGCCTCAAAAAGTTCAATTCGCCAATTTTCATAGAGAGGTCATAGTGTGCCTTCTCATATCCGAACGCGCCCGCCATGCCACAACAATCGAATCATTACAGTGACATTGTGTTCCGACGGCAAACTTAACATCTTCACAGTCGGCTGGATACCAACGAGTGCTCGCTGATGGCAGTGTCCGTGCAGCAAGATGTCATTCGGTTCTGTCGAGAACTTCCAGGGCAATTCACCCTTTTCAGAAAGTTGACAAGGAAGTCCTCAAACGAACAGGTTGCCTCAGCAACACGTTTCGCGTCGGGCCCGTACCGATCAGATCAACGTAATCATCAGTGATAGCAGAAGTACAACTCGGTTCACACCCAACATTGGAATCCTGCGTCAGCATAAACGCGCAGCGCGTCAAATTGTAACTCGCATCGCAATGGCTCTGTCAAGCATCCACTCCGAGATAAGAGGTCGTCCACAACACTATCTTCTCAGGCAACAACACCTCAAATCCACACGCTTCAAGCAACTCCACCGCAGCTTTACCGATAGAGGGTTCGCTGTAGTTCATAAACGTATCGGAAAAGAGGACGACCTTCTTGTCCGATGTTCGTCGGGACTTTCGCTTCGGAACCATGTCATAGGTAGGACGGACGAAAGTCGGCATATCACGCCGCCGATCGATACCGATGAGTTTCTCGGCAAACCATTTGGAAAGCCCGTTGTTGACTGCCCAGCTGGAGAGAGGGGAGGAGAACATCGATCCTAAAGGCGCGAGGCGCGCCGATTTCACGAACAACCGCCGCGATGTAAGGGCAAGCCGTTTGCTTTGTGATAATGTGCAAGCACCTCATACTTAATCTTCGCCATATCTACATTAGATGGACATTCCGCCTTGCACGCTTTGCATCCCAGACATAAGTCTAACACTTCTTGAAGCCGTTCACCTGTGAGTTCCGTGTGTGGCAACGCACCTGAAATAATTGATCGGAGCGCATTTGCACGGCCACGTGTCGAGTGCTCCTCTTCACGTGTGCCAATAAAGGAGGGACACATAGTGCCAGTCAGTGTCTTCCGACACGCACCGACACCGTTACACATTTCAATTGCTCCACCAAATCCGTCTTGACTGGAAAAATCGAAGTAAGTGTCAATTTTAATGCTATTGTATTCTGTACCGAAGCGGAGATTCTCTGTCATTGATGGCGCGTCAACGATTTTACCCGGATTCATAATCCCGTTCGGGTCAAACGCTTTTTTCACTTCAGCGAGTGCTTGATATACCTGCGGACCGAACATGCTCTCTATCCACTCACTGCGGACGAGCCCGTCACCGTGTTCACCGCTCATCGCACCATCTAATTCCATGAGCAGATCTCGAACCTCGCGGGCAATGTCGTGCATTTTCTGAATATCGGTTTCGGATTTAAGGTTGACAATAGGACGGTTGTGCAACAGCCCAACGCTTGCATGCGCGTAGTAGGCAGCAGTTGTATCGTATGATGTGACAATCTCGTCAAATCGGCGGACGTATTCCGGTAAATTCTCTATCGGCACCGCGGCATCTTCGACGAAACCAACCGGTTTCGCATCACCCTTCATACCCATCAACAAGCCAAGCCCCGCTTTCCGGGTCTCCCAGACGCGTGACTTCTCCTCAGCGGTGAAACAGCGTACCAATGCATAGCCGAAACCACTACTTTTCAGCGTCTTTTCAAGCCTATCTAACTGCGACTCCAATTCCGCTTGTGTCTCACCGTAAAATTCAACAGCAAGCAACGCAGCAGGGTCGCCTTGTATAAAAGTGGTAAGCCGTGAAAATTCCAATGAACGCCGCGCCATATCAAGGATTGTTTTGTCTATAAGTTCGACAGCAGTTGGGTTACACTCCAGGATAGATTGCATCGCCTCCATAGAGCCAACAAGTGACTCAAAATGGACGACACACAGAGCGGTTAATTTAGGAATCGGAACGAGATTCACCGTTGCCTCAATAGTCGTTGCAAGTGTACCTTCAGAACCGACAAGGATTTTCGTCAAACTAAACGGATGTTCCGCATCACATCCATCGCGACGATAAGGCGTAACCTCTTTTGAACCAGCATTTGGAACAAACTCATCAAGGTTGTAACCCGCAACGCGACGCAAGATACGAGGATAACGTTCACGGATCTCGGCTTCGTTGTCCGCACACACTCGACAAAGTTCACGATAGATGTTTGCCTCTAATGTGTTCCCTGTTTTTTAGTCTCTAATTCTGCAATGGAAATGGGGGATGCTGTGATTTCATCAGCGTTGGAAAGGACTAAATCAAGCGACATGACGTGATCGACGGTTTTACCATAGATGAGGGAATGCGAACCCGCGGAGTTGTTTCCAATGGTGCCACCGACGTTCGCTCGACTGCTCGTGGCAACATCAGGTGCATACATCAAGCCGTGTGGTTTTAACTTATGGTTCAATTCGTCTAAGACAATACCGGGTTGCACGCGCGCCCAACGCTCGGCGACATTCACCTCAAGGAGTTGGTTCATGTATTTGGACATGTCCAACACGATCGCCTCACCGACGCTCTGTCCAGCGAGACTCGTGCCGCCACCGCGTGGAAGGATCGGAATGTTGCGTGCTGCTGCGATTTGCACAGTCTTAATCACATCTTGGCTATCTTTCGGGATTACAACACCTATCGGCTCTATTTGGTAGAGGCTCGCGTCTGTGCTGTAGAGTGCCTTAGAATACGGATCAAAGCGTACCTCCCCTGCAAGAGTATTCGATAATTGTTGTTCAAGTGCCGATGTAGAAGGGTCCATATTTGTCAACCAAAAAACCGTAAACATCGCGAGAGATAATCGCGACCGTTATTTTTGTAAATCCTCCCGAAAAAAATTTGACATTGCTACCCAAGTAAAGTATAATTAACCGTACAATGCCCCTGTGGTGGAATTTGGTATACACAGCAGGTTGAGGGCCTGTGCCTTAATTGGCATGCTGGTTCGAGTCCAGTCGGGGGCATCTTCCCTTTCCTTGTTTCCAGATTCTAATTCCAGTCGCCAACCTACGAAGCACCCTCAAGCAACTCCTGATATACCTGATAAGTCTGTTCAGCGATCGTCTCCCATGTGAAATCCTTGACGCGGTTAAGCCCACCTTCAACTAAATCGTTCCGAAGACATGCATCGTGCGCGATGCGATATATCCGTTCTGCCAAAACCTCCATATCGCCCTCAGGGAAGATAAGTCCCGCGCTATCAATCACGTGTGGAATTTCGCCAGAATCTGAACCGACAACCGGCACTTCGCATGCCATTCCTTCAATAAGCACCCTACCGAAGAATTCTACCCATCCGGTTGTTGTCCGAGATGGTAGAACCAGTGTATCCATACAATTAATATAGGCGGCTACCTCTTCAGGAGGCACCGCGTCTATCCACACAATATGTCCAGAAATTCCCAGGGTTTCGGCAGTTTTTTGAAAACTCGGTTTATCTTCACCTTGCCCGACAATTAAAAGTTTATAGGTGCGCGTCGTATCCTGGCTTACAAGATGCGCCACAGACTCAAGAAGCGTATCTACTCCCTTCATCTGAAGCAATCTGCCGACGTAACCAACCACAAAACAGTCGCTGAGATGCAATGAATCCTTCAGCTTGCTGACATCCATCTTATAGAAATGCCGCATATCAACGCCATTCGGGAACGGGGTTTGTTGTCCGGTGTAACCCCGTTGGGTTAGAACCTTGCCAGCATTCACACTCAGCGGGAAAGCTCTATCCGTTTCTCGAAAGACACGGCGTTCAATCCATACAGGCAAAAAGCCAAACCGCTGTTTGGTCGGTATACTCAGGGATGTACGAAAAATAAAACGACTGTTTGGACAATATTTCCGTTTCAACCGAACTGTCTGTAGGGCATTGAGGCTCCACGCCTCCTCTCTAAGTGGATATATCCGGTTGAAAATCTCGGAAGTGGGACTTCACACCATGGCGGTAGTAAAAACGACTGCCGTACCCCGAGAATTGGATTGGACACGGAAATTCTTCACACGGCGTGTCTGAGTCTGGTTCAAAGACAATATCTTGGAAACTTTCATACCAACGTGCAGGGAACCACAACCCGTAATGTGACATCCGGACGTTCCGCAATGAGAGCGAACTTTCGTCGGTACGGCTTCATAATATAGGAATGGGAAAGGACTAAGACACGCACAAGTAATTAAGTCCCTAAATACTCCTAAAGACTCTTGGGCGCACTGACTCCTCAGCTTCAGTTGCTTCCGCGTCCGGTTCATCAGTGTCTGCCTCAAAAGTGATTTCATCGTTTGTATCTACTTCATCAGTGTCTGCCTCAAAAGTGATTTCATCGTTTGTATCTACCGGACTTTCATCTGATGCAATGAGGACATCCATCAAACCCGCAAGTCTCTCGCGGATCTCTGATCGTTCATCCGAGGTGGCTGCACGCTCTGAGTCAAGTTCCTCCTTAAGATCGCTATTACGATCTTCAAGATTTTGAATCTCTCCATCGCGTTGCAGTAAATCACTGTTGAGTCGGGAAATTTCAGCCTCAAGTTCCAACTTTTCTGCTCTCAATTGTTGGACGGTTGAAATCGCAAGTTCAACACGTTCCTCCAGCAGTGATACAATACTTTGTTCAAATGCTTCAGACATATTAATTCCTCCAAAGTGGTTTTGTTTATTAATTCGCGGCGGATTTACGATTCTCCACCGCAGCAGTCGCGCTCGTTTCAATCAGCGACAGATGCTCAGCATTCGCCCAATCTGGACATTCATGGACGTAGTGAAAAAGATACTGCTGCGCGTACCCCACGCGATCCCCGAAGTAGGCGTGTGCGAACTCGCGTATCTCATGATACGTAGCACGCCGGCGTAGGTAAAGTGTCTCAAAGATTCGTTTTATCCAAACATCGATCGGCAGTGCTGCAAGATGTCCAAGCGAAAATAGACAGATACAATCAGCTACCTTCTCACCAATACCTTTTCGGCACATTAATTCACGCTTTGCCTCAGGATACGACATCCCCTTCACCGCCGTAAGGGCAAGTTCACCACTAACAACTGCTTCCGCAGCATCTCGAAGATAACTCGCTCGATAACCGACACCACAAGCAAGGAGTTCATCCTCTGTTGTAGTTGCGAGTGCTTCTGGACTCGGAAAACTATAATCCACGTAACGTGCAAACGTCAACTGTTCGCCAAAACGCTCAGAGAGTCGGCGAATAATCCCACGAATCCGGGATACATTGTTGTTCTGAGATAGAATAAACGATGCCACCGTTTCCCAAAGTTCTTGATTGAGAATGCGCATCCCCCAAAGTTTCTCAATTGTCCGATGCATATAGGCATCATTGTTTACTTCGGTCAGGTCTTTGGAACATCGCGCCCAAGGTCAAGATAGTGTTGGAGAAATGGTACGAAGGTAGTCCTATCCTCGGCGGCAGAGCTCTCAACACGCAAGGTAGTTCCTACTTGACAAATTTTGAGGATGCGTCCTTCCACGACACCGTAATAGGCATCATCTATTCGATTCCATCGAAACGACTGTCCCGATTCTAAGGTATATTTCAAACTAAAATCTGTTGCATCCCGAATTTGCATCATGTGTCTTGCCGAGTTTTATAAGGACCTGCAAGCAACGCCCTTGATATTTGCTAATTAGTATATAGCAAATATCAAAAATTAGCAAATTTTTATTCTCGATCTCCAAAATCCACTGTATTTTCGCCTATCTGGTTTGACATTCTCCCCGTTTGCATGTATAATATTAACACCTCTGTTTGAGAGTAATAGAAACCAAACAGCGGATACCTTAAGTAAAACGTCAACTACCCTAACTGAAGCAAGGGCTTGTGCGAAGCGTGGTTTCCAAACGTCCACTCCACGAGTTAAACTGTTGACTACAGATCGTCTGCCCGTGGCGATATGAGTAACGGGCACTGTAGACCTCGTTCGCAGGTGCGAGGTAAAACAAAGTCTGCCCTTAATATTAAAAAAGGAGGCAGGGTTTCCTCCCCTATCTAAAAGTAGGGATCTCCACCCTGAAGATTGATGATTATCTTTCTACGCGAAAAATTTATTGCGCAACTTTTTATGTGGATAATCGCCATTGTGTTCCTTGTAGGGACAGTATTTCTCTATAGCAACACGCGTGGCGGAAGTGAAGGACCTGAAGGAGAAGTTGTTCTCAGAATTAATAGCACAGAAGTCAAACGCGGAGAGTTTGAAAGTGCCGTTGCCAATGCCATAGAGAATCAAAGACGAAACCAGAGGTTTGGCCGCGCCCTGATCGGGAGGAAAACGCAAAAATCGGTGATCGATCGCTGGGTGCACAACAAACCATTCTTGGAAGTGTGGATATCGGTTATGCTGAGATAGAACGCTACATCCGAAGTGACGCAAGCCGAGTCGAGCAATACAATCTTTATCAACAATTCGGGGCAGTAGACCTCTACACAGAGAATATCGTTTACAACTTAGTTCCACTGCACTCCGAGATAGTGTCCAATCGCTTGAATTGGTAACCGATACTGAAGCAGAACAAGCATATCGACTTGAATCAGATAAGGCAAAAGTTAAATTTATTGAATTTAAGCATAGCGATTATACTGCAACAAACTGAGGTAGATGAAGTAGAAGCAGAGGCGTACTTTGAGAAAAATCGGAATAACTATAAATCGGAAGAACAGGTGAGTGTAAAATTTATCAGGGTGAATCCTGCCGATCTCGTTCAGACGAAGAGAGTAGCTACGTATATGAGGAAAACCAAGCGGAGTTTACGACACCGGAAGTCGTTAAAGCCCGCCATATCTTGAAAAAGTTCCTGACAACGCAAACCGACGAACAAAAGGCAGAAACCAAAACCGCTGCAGAGGAACTCCTCAAAACCATCAACGCAGAACTTGCCGCGGGGGCGGATTTCGCTGAACTTGCGATGACGCATTCAGAAGGACCTTCCAGTGTACAAGGTGGCGCATTTGAGAGGTGGAAATCCCAAACTTCCACCCGGAGACTACTTCGCACGTGGGGACATGGTGAAACCCTTTGAGGAAACAGCCTTCGACACCTTGGAACAGGGAGAAGTCAGTGGCTTAGTCGAAACACAATTGGATATCATATCATTAGTTGGAGGAAAAGAGAGCACCAGAAGTTCGACCTTTCGACCAGGTCCAATACGACATCCGACCAAAACTCGTTCAAGTCAGTGGCGTTGATGCGGCAAAAAAGTTGCGTCTGACCTCCTATATGAAATTGAAATTCAGGACTATGAAGCAGCTCTCGCACTTGAACGTACAAGAATCTTTCCCTCATCGTGCTGGAAACCGGTTCTTCAGCCGTGATGTTACAACTATCCCACAGATTGGGGCAAGATGGGGCTATCAAGGGTTAATCGAAGAACTCTTTGATATGGAAGTGAACGTAATAAAAGTTATTGAGGCGAAAAGATCGGATGGAGAACGGGTGGAAGCCTATTTTGTCGCCTACTGTTCTTGAGAAGAAACCGGCGGCTGTCCCACCTTTTTCGGAAATCAAAGCGACGGTTTTCAGCGACCTGAAGACGGAAAAATCTAAAGAGCGTGCCTTTACGGATGCACAAAACCTGTTCAATAAACGTGCAGACACCACATCGCTGGATGCCTTATTGGAGAAGTATGATGCTCCTGAAGGCTTAGCCACAGACCCACTCTCTGTCCAAGAAAGCAACTTGTTCGCGCTCAGCCCAAACAGCGATTATATTGCCGGTATGGGAAGCTCGGCTGAAACTATGTTCGCAGCATTTCGGATGAAAGTTGATGAGATTGGTGGTCCCTTCAAAGGCAACACTGCCGTTTACATTGTTCAACTCATTGAACGGGAAGAACCAGACATTGAAACGTTCCAAACGGACCCGGCTGAGAAAGCTCGGCATCGTCAAGCCCTTATTCAAGCCAAAAAACGGGACACATATTTGAATTGGTTCGCCGCACGCAAAAGGCGAGTGAACTCTGGATACATCCAGATTATCGTTAGCACTCTTCCCGCCAAAGATTTCTCTAAATGTTTAAGTTGAACACACGTCACAAATAGGAATAAGTGGCATCCGGATGATAGTCCGGCAGCAAGGCATCATGCGTTTGCCCCGCTATGAGATTTGTGCCATCGGTGAAGCCTTCGGGGGCGGTGACGGAGAAACTCGATTAAACGATTCCGCCAAGGGGGTTAGGAGGGTTTCCGATTCCGCCAGATCGTGTGTTTCGTGCGGATCGTCCTGCAGATTGAAGAGATGTTCTCGACCGGTTTGGGAATACCACACGTACTTGTAATGTCCGTCGGTTACATAGTGGTTACCATGACTGTAATCGTAACAACCGGAGTGCTCTCCATGCAGATAGTCCCGCACCCGGTCGGTATTCCCTTGCATGATGGGTAGTAGACTTCTGCCAGTGCAGATACTGGGAATCTCAACCCCGGCAGCGTCCAAAATAGTGGGCATGATGTCTTGTAGACCGACGGGGCTTTGGCAGACGGATTCTGTTGGGTAGCCCCATTCGCCGGTGCCCGTATCAGAAAAGGCACTCGTGCCGAGGCTTCGTAGGGCCAGGTTTTGCGGTACAGGTTGTGGTCGCCCAGCATCTCACCGTGGTCGGAGGTGAAAACGATCAAACAGTCCGCCAGTCCGCCCATGGACTGGATTAAGCGGCCGATCTGATCATCGATAAAATTGATCATCCCGTAATAAGCCGCACGAGCACATTGCATATCGTGGTCGTCGAGACAGATTTCCCAAGCGTTTGGATCCAACCCCTTCTCAGCCCCCTCGAATTCGGGTGCCCAGTCACCAACCACCGGTGAAGGGAGATCCCGCTGGATGTAGCGCTGGTAATAATGTGCCGGTGGAGTTAACGGTGGGTGCGGATCTATAAAAGAGATGTTGAGAAAAAAGGGCACCGTCGGGTCACGTTTTTGAAGAAAATTGAGGGTGCGTCGGATACACCAGAAGGTGTGCATCTGCTCTTCCGGTAGATGATGCGGGCGACCGACCCCACCCGTTGGCGGAGACACCGTGGGCAACGCCCTGGTATGAACATCGTTGCGGCGGTGATATTGCCGCAACCAATCGACATAGTCGTTATCATCGCCACGGGTGGCATCAGCCAGTTGGAGGTGCTCGAAACCGTACCGTTTACGCGGTGGGGGTCAGGTGTAGTTTGCCGATCATCTCGGTTTGATAACCAGCTGCAGACAATTCACCTGCCAAGGTATGCGGTGGGTTCCACGGTGCTCCTTTAAATCCAACTGCGCGCCGTTGGCGGCTGCTGGGCGCGGTCACCTGTCATCAGACTACGTACGTCGAGCCGGAATACAACTCGGGCATTCAGCATATCCACGGCGGAAATGCGTGCCAGTGCGACCGATCCAATCCAAGTTTGGTGTCTGTAAGCAGTTGGGCCCGTTGGGATCCAAGCCCAGACAGTCACCACGTTGTTGGTCGGTGGTGATTAAAAGGATGTTAGGGCGGGTATCAGGCATCTCAAACTCTAAGCACGGAAGTCTCAATTTGAGCGTTCGCCACTTTGTCGGGTTGAAGGCTCCAGTCGTAATTAATTAAGGAGTTCGTAGAAGAAATTGCGGCGTTTGGCAACATAACCTAACTCGGTTATAGTGCGTTCGATCTCCTCAATCGGCATGCAATAGACCGTTCCAGCTTTGCTGACAACGTTCTCCTCTATCATTGTACCACCCATATCATTCGCACCGAATTTAAGCGATAGCTGTCCGATCTTCGGACCTTGGGTTACCCATGAAGATTGAAAGTTGTCGAATTATCCAAGAACAATCGCGAAATAGCAAGTGTTTTGAGATATTCAAAACTTCCTGGCAGGGGGTATATGATCCATACGGGTATTGGCGGGTTGTAACGACCAGCAGATAAACGCTGTAAATCCGCCTGTCTCATCTTGCAAATCACGCAGTCTGACGAGATGTTCGACACGTTCGGCGTAACTTTCTACATGCCCGTACAATCATCGTCGCGCTCGACTTGAGTCCAACCAAGTGTCCCTGACGCATGACTTCCAGCCATTCATCAGCGGTGCACTTCTTAGGGCTAATCTCATTGCGGGCATGGTCAGTAAGAATCTCTGCACCGCCGCCAGGGATCGAATCAAGTCCGGCATCTCGCAACCGGAGAAGCATCTCTCGCAACGACATACGGTTTATCTTGGCAAACCAGTCCAACTCTGGAGGGGGGAAAACCCATGGATATGAATGCGGTAATTGGCTTTGATCCAACGGAGGAGATCTTCGTACCAGTCAAGTTTAAGTTTCGGATGCAATCCACCTTGCATGAGAATCAGCTCACCCACCAAGATCCAGTGTTTTCCTGTATTTTTTCCCCCAGTTCTTCCCGCTCCATAACATAAGCGTCAGGATCTTGACGATGGCGATAGAAAGCACAAAATCACAGTCAACATAACACCAATTGGTATAGTTGATGTTTCGGTCAACAATGTAAGTGACGTAGTCTTCCGGATGCTTGCGTTGTCGGGCAATATCTGCCGCGTGCCCCCAGAGCAAGTAAATCGTGACTCTTGAAAAGCGTCAGGCAGTCGTCAAAGTCTAACCGTTCTCCCGCAAGCGATTTCTCAGGATAGGTTGGATTGTTTGTATCCATTTACAAGTTTCCTCAATATAATTCATAAAGCATACTAATGCCGAATCTAATACTCCAATTTTTAACATTTTATAACCTGTTTGTCAACTTTTCTTCCATTTTAACTTGACTTTTGGAGAAAATTAAGTATAATTATAATACGCTTGATCTGAATCTGTATTTAATAAGGAGAAACGAAATGAACGAAGTGGTTTACAACGAGGACTTAGTGAAACGCGTGGCAAATAAATACCTCGCAGTGAATGTTGCCGCAAAACGCGCCAGAGATATAAATGCAGACGGTTTGTCTATTGCACCTTCAAGCCCTGTAGATAACAAAAAGAAACCTGTCGCCATTGCAATACAAGAATTGGTTGAAGGTAAACTTCACTTTGAAAAAAGCGAGGTCAAAGCACCGGTCCAGAATACACCGTCGATTTTTACCGACCCGCAGGATTCAGACGACGGGAGTGATATATTCGATGAAGAACTCCTCGCACGCGAAGGCGATACTGACGCAGAGGAGCGCGAGGAAGGTCTTTAGATCTCGTCACTGGCGAAAATTGCGCCTATCAGAACAATCTCTCGCCGAAAAAATCGAAAATCACGATTAACTAAAGAAACCCAATGCTTTAGCGTTGGGTCTAATATGGTGATTCGTGCGAGGTCAAAAAAGATTTGATAAAGATAAAAAAATGTAGTATAATAAATAATGGTCGCATAAGGATTGATGTATTCTCGGACACCCCAATTGTCAGTCTTTTGAGAGGTGTGCCGACTTCGCCCGGTTGGAGCGAAGTCCAAATAACTCGCAACCCAACACCACCGAAGTGGGACCCGCAGAGTGGGATGTAAACTCGTCGCTCCCGAAACACCGTATGCGAAAAATCCAACAAGAAACACCTTCTACGCCCGCTGGGGGCGTTCGTGATGGGCGATGCGTTGGTGTCCCCTACGAAGCGAGAAACAAGAACGAAGCACGAGACATTACGGGAAACCACAGGTTTCCCAACGTCTTTAGGTTTGGGTACCTGACTTGACAACTCCCAATAAAGTGGGTATAATTAAAAGTGCTGCTGACGTGGCTCAATGGTAGAGCAAGTGATTTGTAATCACTAGGTTGGAGGTTCGATTCCTCTCGTCAGCTTTTTTAATGGGGGTATGCTAGAGCGGTCAAATAGGGCAGACTGTAAATCTGTTGGCTATGCCTACGGTGGTTCGAATCCATCTGCCCCCATCTGCTTTTATACGAAGCAGCATCGCGGCGGGATCTGGTCGGGGAACAAGTCTACGGAGCAGCTTGCAGATTTTCCATACTACAAAGCGCATTCGCTATATATTCCAGAGTATCATGCCTCAGTAGTATGTCAGTTCCCCTTCGTATTATGCGGGAGTAGCTCAGCTGGTAGAGCATTGGCCTTCCAAGCCATGTGTCGCGGGTTCGATTCCCGTCTCCCGCTTGTTGAGGTTTCTTAATCTTTGCCGATGTAGCTCAGTCGGTAGAGCGCGCGTCCTTGGTAAGGACGAGGTCACCGGTTCGATTCCGGTCATCGGCTCCACTTATTGAAAGTAGAGTACTTATTATGCCAGAGACATTGTAACATTAGCATGTGATGTATGTAGTCAGCGGAATTATGTAACAAACCCGGAACCGCCGGACAAACCAAATCGGTACGAACGGAAGAAATACTGTCGTGTTCTGTCGAAAGCATACATCCCACAAGGAAACGCGATAACTTTTTGAGTAGGGTGACGCAGATAACACCGCTCTCACCGTTAAATATAGGTGTCCGATCTCCTACGCAAAACTGCAGGCCAGTAGCTCCAATGGCTAGAGCGCCGGTCTCCAAAACCGAATGTTGGGGGTTCGAATCCCTCCATGGCCTGCCTTTATAATCTTATGATAACTCGTTCAAAAATTATATTCAGGGAATTAACCAAGAATGGCAGAGAGTGTCCTAAACCGGACATGAAAGAAGTCCAAGGAAGCACCATACTGTTATCATCGCTTGTGCTTTCTTAGGACTTTACATCGGGTTAGTCGATGGCAACTCCGCCTTTCCAGAATGGAACAACCCGCTGAGTTGGATTTTTCTGGTAATTCTTCCAATTGTTTGTTTCTTCTTACTGCGCGAAGTTGGGAGAATCAGCCACAAAGCAGTAGAGAAGCCAAGTCGTCCGATGAGAAACAAGCCGAATCAGAAAGTGATAGCGGCAGCAATAGCCTGTATTCCGTATGGCCGTACTTGTAAGCCAGTACGTCCTGAAATAATTCCCTTGAAGGTTTCGGTATGGCTTTCCTCAGAACTCTCTTATTCGTTAACTATAATTGTATACCCTGGTGAATCAGAATATGGATGGAGTATTGGTAGGCGTCGTTCAAAATATACACTGGACATGAGAAAAAGGTTAACTAACCTCAACCTCTGACCGAACATGATTGTGAGGGAAGAGTTACGGGTGATGACAATCCTGCAAGTTAATGTCCCAGAGACTGATGGTTGTAGAGATTAAAGACAGCGAACGGAAAATTAGTCTCCGACCTTCTTATCCGGGGTACGTCCTTGTTAATACCATCCATGAACTCGGTCCACATGTCGACAATCTGATTGGGCAAAAGTTGGACTCTCATACAGAAACACCGGGAGTCATGAACTTTAGGTCCCACCTCACATCCATCGCCCCTGAGTCCTGATGATGTCGAAGTAATGCTCCAGTTGTCACCGAGGAAGAGGAAACGCTACCCGTACCCGTATGGAATATGAAATAGGCGATAAGGTCAAGGTGATAAACGGACCGTTAGTGGATTCCCCGCCGAAATCAAGGAAATTGACACTGGAACCAACGGGTACTGCCTCAGTATTCGCTTTTTTATCGGGCGCTACCACCATCCGTTAGACTTGGGCTTACCTGAAGTGGAAGAATTGAACTAAAGAAAAACGCAACGGTGTTGTTTAAATAGCAGCACCGTGATTGAGTGACAGTCAAAGCCGCCGTGTGTACTGTACAACGCATACCCAAGTTGAACGCTCACGACCCAAATAGGGAAAACTATGGCAAGCAAATAGCGGTGAGTTAAACTCCAGTTAGAAATATCGGACAGGCGACACCACAACCGCCCGTATGGTCCAGTCTCAGCACCTTCCAAATGATTAATCTACAGGAGTTTATCAATCTTTTAACTTAGCCCAGGGGAAACGCAGTATCAAACCCAGGTGATGGGTGCTGACACCGTCATCACTGTGTATAGCGACTCGGCTCGTTTCTTTCAGATCATTTTTTCAGCGTAAGTCCCCGCCTGCCGCAATCTCTTACTCAAGACCTCAGCAAAGATTGCACAAAGGTTCTGGTGAACGCAGACCAGAACACAGTATTGACTGTTCCGTTACATGAGCAAATCCGAGAAACTCCGCGCAGACGCAGTTTACCCCACCGACCTGACCTAAATACCACAGCCATAGTAGAGGCAGCAATGCTCGATGGTAGAAGGAACCGCATCGTAGCATAGAGCTGACGGTTAAGTTAGCGAGGCGTTATCCATTGACGAAGCACAGCATCGTTGCATATACGGATATAGGTTCACTTTGAAACGGGGCTATAGAGATATGCCGCCATGGAGAACAACATGGCGAAAACAGTGAGCGATCACACGGCATCAACGAACACGATAGATAGACTGCAACTTACACGAGTGAGACGAGCTCTGTCTCCTGGTCAAAAAAACGGTGCGCGCAGTGCGAAGTTTGATGAACGCGTTGGAGTTTAGCATCACGTCTCGGTATAGATGCCCGACAGGCATACCAGAATATCCGAGGCATTGTCGCGCTGCCACACGAACAGGAAAATCTGTTCGTGTTTGTCGTCTTCGCCCAGGGCGATCTGGCACGACACAGCCGAAGAGGCCGGGCAGATTTCGTTGGAACAGACGATCTTGTTTAAAATCGTTACGGATGGCTCGATTTTGACGCACAATTGCAACACACGCCGATCTGATGCGAAATATCATGACCAACTCGGGCGAGTCCTGACCGAGAGGCTTAATCCTAACGCCAAGGCAGGTACCCGTCACAACGGATGTTGCCTAAACCATACAGATATCAAAGCAGGACAAATCGAATACCGAGCAGAACGCTCCTCCGGTATTGTTCATGTCCCAATCGGCAAAGTGTCATTCGAGGAAGAAAGTATTAAACAAAACCTCAACGTAGTGATGATGCACTCGTTGCCGCTCGTCCGTCCGTGGTGAAAGGCAGATACATTCGAGCGTTGCTATTCAGCAACAATGTGGAGCTGTATCCGGATAGATCACAGCAATTTGCATAATCCGCACGGGATAACGATATGGATGCCCGACAACTGAATAGAGTCGTAGAACGTAGTGTGCCATCGGCTTATTTCCTACCGATGCTTGAGTGGAACAGAACGAGTGATGTACGATTGAAGCGTCCGTGAAATCTCATCGTTTCGTTGTTCGCTCCTTTTTGGATGTGAGCCTCCATGCACCTGGGGGGCTTTTTGGCATGCAATCGTATACCCATTAACAAGTTTATAGAAACCAAGGTATCGCGCTATGGTTACTATACAACCTACATAGAAGGAACTGAACATGCCGAATCAGGCAAATGTTCAGCAAACAGAACAAATTCGTGAGATTTTTGACAATGCCGATGTTGTTCTGCTAACAGACTTTCAGGGGCTTACCGTCGCAGAAGTTAACGAACTGCGGAACCAACTCCGAGCAGCCGGTATCCACTATAAGTCTGTAAGAATACATTGATAAACGTTGTCGCTCAAGAAAAAGGTATTGACGGCTTAGCACCTTATCTCAAAGGAAATACAGCCCTCGCTACGGTACAGATCCAGCGGCATCCTCAAAATCTTGCTTGAATTTGGCGAGGAACACCAAAATTTTAAGGTTAAAGGTGGGATTCTTGGAACACGAATAATCGACGCAGCAGGCGTTGAAGCCCTCCAAGATATGCCGTCACGAGAAGTCATGATTGCCCGCGCTGTCGGGATGATCACGCGCCTCTCACCGGACTCGTCAACACCTTACATCAAGGTCACCCATCACGGGGTATGGTGAATGTACTTAGTGGAACGATACGTCAGGTACCTCCGTACTGACACAGGTTGCCGATCAAAAGAAAGAGGCGGAAACGCCTAACCCAAAGCGCGTCCAGCGCTTATTCAAATATCGCAGGGCAACCAAGTCGCCGTGACTTGACCTTGCACGACGTGATCAGAAATCTCTAATCAAGTTAATTTGATACTACATATAGAAAGGATATAAACATGGCCGCAGATTTAGAAAAATTGAATTGACGAATTAGTAGTATGACCGTTCTGAACTTTCTGAACTGGTCAAAGCCTTAGAGGATAAATTCGGAGTCAGTGCATCGCTGCACCGGCATTCGCTATGCCCGCATGATGCCAGCTGCTCCTGCAGCAGAAGAAGCCGCCGAAGCTGAGAGCAAACAGAATTCGACGCTTCAGCTCAAAGACTTCGGTTCCAAGAAGATTCCGGTTATCAAAGAGTTCGCGCTATTACAGGGCTCGGGTTGAAGGAAGCGAAAGAGAAAGTCGAATCCGCCCCCAGTCGCCATTCAAGAAGGCGTTGCAAAGAGGAAGCCGAGAAAACGAAAGAACAACTCGAAGCCCTCGGTGCCACAGTCGAAATTATATAGACGGAACATACCGTCTTATGTCACAGACAGCGCGCTCTTAAACCGCGCACAACAGGTAAACCCATTATGGTTCTTGAGCATAGCGATGCATCAATCCATTGCTCTACGGGCGAACTGTAATGGTTTTTCGTTTTTGTTTGCTGGAAATTACTAAGTACCACTGATGTTCAGTATTGTTGATGTTTTTTATCTTGTTTTCAGTCAACTCGCGGTTGGCGGGTTCGCTCTTCTTCTCTTAGTCCCGAAAGAGTTAGTGGGTGCGAATTTCTATCGTTTGATGGGCAGTATCTATCTACTCGTGAGCGGATTATCGCGATGCGCAAACCTTGCGCTCCATCAGCAACCTGTCACATATTTCGCAACTTCTTCGGATCTTGGCAGAATCCCGAGTCTATTTCTGCTATCTGTTTCGTTCTCATTGTCTTTATCTATACACTGAGTTGGGTGGTTCAAAACACCACTCTTCACACGACTCCTCTTCTTTATGGGTTTATTTCGGCGTGGTCTGGCTGATTTTGAGTGCCCAGCGGTATCTTCAAATCTTACAACTTCCGGGTGAAATGTTCCTATTACCACTTCAATTCTTAACAGCCGCCGCGCTGCTCGGTGCAGTCCACAGCGGGATGTGGTTTGGTCATTGGTACCCTCGTGGGTGCCTGATTTACCGGTGATTTTACTTGAAACGGTTTAATACTGTCCTTCTCTGTACGCTTTCGGGGGTGGCACTGCTGCTCTGTCTGAACCTCTTTTTCAGGCAGCAATCCACAGATACCGTCTCCTTTAACCTCTTCTATCAAATCATCTTCAGCATGCGGGTACTTATAGTAATTGTTGGCACGTTGTTCCTCTATTTCATTACATGGGTCTGTTTGCGTCCGAAATCCATCGCCCGTGATGTGCTTGGTGCGACACGAGCTGCGACCGGTTTCCTCTTTATCGCCATTATCACAGTCCTTCTCGGCGAGTTCTGGCAGTCGACTGTTATTTCTGGAAATGCGATTTATTTTTTGACATTAGTAAACTCACTGTCTCCGCTGGCGAGGTTTCCTAACCTCGCCCTTAGAGTGTATAGATATGTATAGATAATTGTAAAATCTATTATAAACACCGAATACTGATAACTATCCGTCCGAAAACCAAATATACTGGAGTCTAAGATTGAATTTCATTGTAATTTAAATTTCAGATATGCTAAAATAACTACATTCATTACAAACTTAAGGGGGCACATAATGAAATCCCAAATTTTCTATGAACCCGAATCAATGAGCCTCGAAGATCGGCCCGTGCCAGCAGCCGGTGATAACGACCTGCTCGTCCAAGTCCGTTCGGTAGGTATCTGTGGTTCGGACGTGGCGTATTATTTTGGCAATAGTTCGCTTGAAACCGACGACGGGAAAGGACCCCTTACCCTTGGACACGAATTTACTGGTGAGGTCGTCGAAGTTGGCAGCGAAGCCGGAAAAACAGGTGAATTCAAAGTGGGTGATCGGGTTGTCGTCAATCCTGTTCAATCAAATCCAGATTCCGTCTGGAGTAAGAAAGGATTGTCCAACTTATGTCCCGAAAAACGCGTCTTAGGTGTAGGTGTTGATGGCGGCTTTGCGGAGTACGCAGTCTCAGACTACCGTTGGACAGTCAAGTTACCTGAAAATGTAACATACGATCAAGGCGCACTAACGGAGCCGCTCGCTTGTGGACTTTATGCTGTCAACAATCTCAACGCCGAAGAAGGGCAAACTGCCGTCGTCTTCGGACCCGGTCCCATCGGTTTGATGATGGTGCAAGTTCTAAAAGCCGTGGCTTGAAAAACGTTCTGCTTGTCGGAACCCGTGATTATCGCTTGGACTGCGGTAAGGAACTCGGTGCTGACGTAGTCGTCAATGTTAGTGATACCAACTCTCCACACTATGTGGAAGACTTGGGTGCTATGATTCAGGAACTCAACGATGGCGAATTGGCAGATCGTGCAATTACAGCTACCAGCTCGCTCAACGCAATCCACACCGCTTTAGAAGTTACAGGCAGACACGCAACTGTCGTTATCTTCGGACTTCCCGGCGATACAGATGTAATGCAGGTTCCTATCCTTGATACGATCCTTATGGATAAAACCATCAGGTTCTCTTGGCTGGCACCTGATACGTGGGAAGAAGCAGTGCAGCTCATTTCGAGTGGCGATGTTAACATGGACAAATCATCAGCCACGAGTTCTCGCTCGAATCACTCGTTGAAGGAATAACAAAGGTCCGCAATCGCGAAGACGGTTGTACGAAGGGCTTGATAAAAGTTTCTGATTAACGCGCAAATAACATGGGCATCCCATTTTTCATCCTTTTTGTCCTTTCAATCGCTTCTTATCTCTTGGGATAACTGGGTGGGGTGGCTTCATTTCGGTGGAATGGCCTCAGCAAGACTCAGTTGACGCAAAAAGCGACGCCGTGGCTGTCACCCCTTACCTAAGTTTTCAACCAAATTATTGGGCAATCGCCCAGTGCTTCACAGGATTTCTGCTGTTTTTAGCGAGCCTCTATTTTATGGGCTTTTTTCTCTATCTCGAAGAACGGGAAAGCGGCAGAATCATGAAAAAACGTAAAAAGTTTTGCCAAACTACGGCAGTTTCTTGAGCGACATCAGAAGGAGGACCTTTCACGATGAATTCTCTCATAAAATTCCTTGTTAGCAAACCCAAGCGATGCTGGATACTGATAGGCTGTGGGTTTGCCTTCCTCACCGTATACTGTGCTACGACGAGCACGCCAAAATGATCCAAGACAGTCGCTGGAAATCTGGCTTTTCGACGAAGGTAATGGGAAAATTGCCGAAGATTTGTCCGGGAACGGGCAACGATGGCGAGCTCAAAGAAGGCGCAAAATGGGAAGACGGACAATTTGGACAAGCCGTTATATTTGATGGAAAAGATGATTACGTCGAAATCGCGCCCTCACTTCTGTTCAACCCAGAGGTGTTCACAGTCACTTTCTGGATGCATCCGACGGCTGTTGGGGGCAACAATCCAGGAGGTAAGGGCTCAGCAACCCTTGTCATTGCAAATGGTAATCCGGGGGACGGTGGGGGCGCGAATTGGTGGTTTGAGTTCTGGAACGGCGGCAACTTTGAGTTCAAAAAGTTGTCAGGCGGGTTGTGCCGCGGCGAACACACCCGTGAATAAACCAGACGAATGGTATTTTGTCGCTGGTATCTACAACGGCACGGAGTACGAACTCTACATTGATGGCGAATTTAAGGCAAAGGGACCGAATAAAGTCGGGGCACCCGAAAAAGGCTTACTCATCGGAAGTGGACTCTGCCCGGCAGGCCACGGATGTGACGGTGGCTACTTCCAAAGGCATCATCGACGATGTCGCGATGTTCAGCGATGCCTTGAGCGAGGC